GTGTAATATCCCTCTACAAGATGCAGGAGTGTACAAGTTAGATTGTGAATGTGGTCTCTCTTACATAGGTCAAACAAAAAGATCCATAAAAACCCGCGTGAAAGAACATATAGCTGACGTGAAGCACCGACGCTCCGGGAAGTCTGCAGTCTGCGAACATGTTCAAGATCGTCCCCACCATTACATTCGATTTGATAAACCTCAAATTCTTGCAAAAGAACACCGATTCCTACCAAGGATGATACGCGAGGCTATTGAAATTAAAAAACATCCAAATTTCAATAGAGAAGATGGATGGGTGCTGCCACCTGCTTGGGATCCTATAATTAACAAAATTAAACCCAAACCTAAGCATACCACTGCAAGACTTCATGATACTATAAGCTCGTTTTGCGTAAATCGGACCAAAAATTAATATTCAAAAACTGAAGGTAGCCGGACTAACTATGACATTGGGACGTCAAACATCTCAGTCCCCCCCGTGACCATGGTTGCTGTAAAGCACCCGAAACGTCGGGAATTAAAAATAAGTAAAAGTAGTGAAATAAACGCGATAAAATCCGTAAATTTAGTTTTATTCAATGAATGCTTTCACTTACCATTATCTCACCAACTGTTTTAATTATATTGACGCAACGAGCATGGCCAAACTTTGTAAAGATCTTTACTTCAGGGTGTACTTATATAAACTATATGTGATTCAATATTATCTTTTTACTTACTTATCTTTTGTTAAATATATCCAAAAAGTGCATATTGCTCAGCAGTAGTGGACAAAAGTTATGAATTTGTTACTTCGGTTAAGGTATTTTAATGAATGTTATTTATTTATTTAACAATTTATGTTGTACTAATTGTGTGTACAAGCAAGGGAGAGGGCTCGTTATGATGACAAGTTGTTTGTGAAATCTGTTCCAGTAGGCCAGTTACAAAGAGATATGATAAAAAAAAAGATAAAAAGGTGTGCATTTTTATTATACATCACATGTTATTTATAAAATAACTAATAAGCTTAGCGAGTTACACAAAGTAAAAGGTCTTGTTATAATTTTTTTTTCTCGCCTGTATCCTGTATATATTAATTACTTTACTCTTTAGTGAAATCTGAAGTTGAAATCGCAATTCTTATTTCGCTCTGTTTTAAAATTTGACCAGGCGTAGGACAGTTGCCTCAGACGACAAAATTCAGTTGAACGTGGCGCCATCCATAATTTGTTTCCAAAAAAAAAATATGCTTATAGTTGTTGGTTATATGGCTTCACAGATGTTACTACTTTGGAAAAATAAATTGAAATTTATTTACAAAATAAAAATGAGTGCACGTATATTTTATTGGTGATTTTATTAATAATAAGTTATCATTTTAACATAAAAGTACATAATATTTGTCAAAATCAAACGATAAATATGATAATTATGACACTGGCAACCAGCACAATATTATGATAAAAATGAAATAATTGTCATTCTAAATTGTCATTCTTGTTTCACTACAATAATAACCATATTTATTTATAAATACAAGTGTTATTTAAACTTTTTTACCTAATTTTATACTAATTTAAACTTTTAATAATATTAAAACTTTAAATTAGTATTACAAAGAAGTAAGCAAAATCTGTTTCACTATATACGAATTAAAATAACATAATATTTTAAAGCGAATCAATATATTATATAAATAATATAGCTATGTATATTTAGCGAATTAGTTCGGTTTCAATTAGTAGGAGGCGCTAATAGTTCAATTTTGTCAGCAATAAAATGTTGTCAGATCAGGCTCTCTTTCCTGTATATACTTATTATACTCTTTGCATTTAACGTATTAAGGGGATATAGTAAGTCAGCTCAAATTCTAATTTCGCCCCCATTTCCCCGCGCGTCGTATGCTATGTACCGACATGTTTGTAAACATTAATACTGTAAGTAGATAGGTCGTTAGACACTTATTTCATTAGATTTATCATATTTATGCCTGTTTCTTAACGCCAACCCAGGCGCTTCTTATTTTTATTACGGTTATTTCCCATTTTAATTTTACGTCTTCCTGTTGCGTAATGTGTATTCTGATCGTAAGCGACACAACCTCCCCCATCAAAGGCCGAAGCGAAACTGACCGGGCAGCAGGAATCACGCTTCAAGAGGCCAATAGTTTAGGTAATTTCTTTTTACAGTGAAAATAATGGTATTTTATAAAAATTAAATAAATTAAGCACTGCTTTATAGTTAGTTCAGTTAGTATGCAAAGTTTCATGATCTTATTTAAAGTATTTTATGAAGAACAGCGGTTTATTGTTTATTTTGGAGGCAACTTTGGATTTTTTTTTCTAACGAGAAAATTTTATGGAATCGTGTTTTCGTCTAACAGAATCTTTAACAATTAATCCTCAACTTTACCATATATTTATTTCAAAATTAATGCTGCAATATTTTCGGCATAACGGAGGATCTTGCTAAGCCATTTGAGGTTATATTTCCCCTTAAGGTTATTAAATTGATTATTGCCAGTACAGAAGTAAATTATTTGAGAAGTAAAAGATTTGTTGACCTGTTATGTAATTAAATAAAAGCTTTTTATTAATATGCCGAGATATAGGAAAAAAACATTAAAAATATTAACATTTTAAATCTGCAATGCGTTTTGTTCTTGTTTTTTCCTGTTCTGATGTTTGTTATTATCATCTGACAACAATAAGGTACTTTGGAATGATGTCAAACGGAATTATATTTTTTTACATTCTGTTACAAGACGTAATAGGTACTTTAATTTGTGAATACTTGGGGCCAATTTCGTCCATCTCCTATAACAATGTAATTATAAGTTTAAAGTTTATCAAATAATGTCAAAAAACAAAACTGTATTATACTAGAAAGTTATCGTTAATTTAACGTCTCCACCAATTTTGAATCTTTAACGCCGGAAAGGTGTTTAATCACTATTATCGTTTGTGTTTAACGAGACCTAAACAAAGACAAAAGTCCAATAGTCAAAATGGTATTTAATTATTTCTAGGTATATTTCTCCCGATGATACCTCGTTTTAATGCGAAACATGAATCCTATTATCGACGATGGTTTATCTTTCCTAGTGACGTCGTGTTAGGTCGGGACTTGGGTGGTGGTGTTAGGATTAGTGGTGACGTTGATAGTTCACGCAATTGAGCGAGGGAGTGAAGTACTCTTCTGACTTAGCTAGATTATCATTTTTGTTATCAAGCGGATCTTAGATATTTTAATTACCTTCAGCAACTGTTATTTAATTGATTCCTAAATTGCCAATTATGAGTCAAAATTAAAAAATACCAATTTTTTTCCAATAAGTGTCAATAAGTCCAGTTTTGATTACTTATTATTCTTTTTGATCAACCAAATAAACAAATAAAAGTTTATTGCTAGAGAAAAATCATGATAATTCTTTTCCCTGGTGGATCGTAAAAAAATGTTTCCTAAACTTTTATACAGAATGTCCCGAAACTCAAAGTCAAGCGGGTACAGGACGATAAGCTTGGTTGTACCAGTTCCAATTCTAGCTAAAAATATAAAAAACATGTTACTTGATTAAGTGATAATAGGTATACATTCAAAAATTTTGAAAATAAACAACCTGACTCCATTAAAGTAATATGTACTTACGTACTAGAACAGCTATCTCACACAAAAATTTGATCTACTCTTTTTTCGCCCGTTTGTTTTTTTATCATAGAATAAACATAAGTAGAATGATCCGTAGGTCATAGTAGATTGTATTGTTAAATAGATAAATTATATCGAGAACAATATTTGAATTTTGTCATTTATTTTGTATATTATATTTGCTTATTTAATATAATATTACATAATTCTGAATCTGAATATTTTAAAAGGTATCTATGTCAAATATAAAAATCTTCCTAATGTATGTTTAACAAAATTTATTAACATAGCATTTAAGTTAGAATAAGAGTCGTTCATAAATGCTGGGCACGCGAGAGTTAAAAATGGACGAATTTATTCCACTTTAACTTTGAAGTAGAAACCTAAAAATAAAATAAAAGAATAGTAAGCAGATTTAAACATGAAAAATTTAGCCTAATTATAATAACTTATATATGTTTCTACAAAAAAAATGTGTATATTAATATATTCGTCCTATACTTAACCCACAGAAAAATCGCATCGCATCGCATCTTAATTTCATAATCTATATTCCATGACACGAGATGGCGTCTTAGAAATAATTTGTTTTATTATTAATCTATAATACTTTATTATTGATTAAGTATCTTATTAACCGATGAAAAGTAATTCCTTGGTTTTTACTGACATTTCTTAAATTATTTGTGCAATATCTAAGAACACACGACGGCATATTTTTATCAAGAGATTTTTTTTAAATCAATACAACACGTCACAACTCTACAAGCAGTGTTGCCAACTGCTAGCTTTACCCAGTAGCTAGATATCTTCAAAATGTTGCTGGATTTCCGGTTTTCTTTACCCTAAAAATTTGCTAGAAGTTGCTAAATGTTACAGTAGATAAGTAGGTTACAATAAAATGCCAGTTGTTGATAATTATTTTTATTCATTAATTCCAACGAGAAATTAAATTAAGTCCTGTGTACGCAATTGAATAAAAATTAAAGAATAAATTAATCAATTAAAGAGGAAGATATCGATGGCTGGGGTTCAGTATCTTTCATTGATTACAAATTTTTTCAACGGTGCCCATTTTATGCAGTACGTCTTTAGGCAAAAGACAGTCATTGCAGCATTTACCACTTTTCCTGAGGGAGTCTCTAATGCAGAGGTTCAGAGTTTTTAAACTTATTCTGTTTCTTTGCTTATTTTTAACTAAATTCATTTGAGAAAATAACCTTTCTACCTCTGCATTAGAATGTGGCAGTGAAAGGCAAGTTAAAGCAAGAGCACTTATATTTTGATATATGTTGTCACCGGAAGAATTTCTAAATTTTTTACTTCGACCCAAAACTGAACTATTTCTCCAGAATGCCACTTATTATTTATATGTAGAATGTGCCACTATTGCTATTTCTCTCTGTTGTTATTTCTGGTGTAAATCCCAAAATTTCAGCAACGTCGACGATAGTATTTGATTTGATTGGCTTTATTGCCTCCTCTGGACTTAGCAACGCCATTGATTCTAGCTGCTTGTAGTTGTCTGGAAGCCTTTGCTGCAATTCCTTAAGTAATTGCAGTAAAAAGGTGGAGCAGCGTTGTCGTATTGCATTTAAAATTTCGGAGTCTAAATTATTTTGCAGCAGTGGACTTATGAAGGGCTGTAATGATGATGATGATGATTATGTTGAGCAGTTTCAAACATGTAGCCAAGATAAGGTCTAGGGTTAATATTCCTGTCAGTTATTGGATCTAATAAGTTTCTGTTTACAGGTTTTGGCATTAAAATTCTCTGGCTCGTTGATTCTATCAGTGTTGTGAGTGTATTGAGAAGTTTTAATGGATTAGAGTTTTCACTTTCAAATGATTTAATTGCTGTTTGAACATCATTTAAAACGCTTCTCAGAAACTCAAAATACAAATATTTTTTTTTCTTCGAGCATGTTGTAAATAAGTTCAGCTGAGTAGCAATTGTCTTTCCCTCTTGCTAAATTAAAATGTATTTTCAATTCTTCCCATTGTGTCACATTTTTTGTTATCGCTGGCTCTATTGAAAGCCAACGTGTATCACACCACACATGTATCGCACACCTTGGTGATTTTCGCCACAGTTTATAAGTTCGTATATTTTTGTGTATTCGTCTCGCCGCTTAGGAGACACAGAAAACCATTTATAAATTTCTCTAACCAAAAACTCTAAATTCCTTGGCAGAGTATTTTCGGAGGCATGGGTCACTGCTAACTGCAACGAGTGGCAGACACATCGTATCAGTATCAAATTTTCTATACCATATTCTCTTTTTAGGATTGCATGAACCCCGTTATTAATGCCTGTCATAACAGATGCATTATCAGTTCCAATTCCAATCATTTGTTTGATATCTAAGTTGTGACTCTCTAAGCATGATACCAAGCCATTAACGATTCCCCTAGCATCTGCACTCTCAATAGAAACTAGTTCCAGGAATGAGCTTACTATCCTTTCCTGTGCGGCACTATAATACCTAATTACAAGACCAAGGTGTTTACTGACACTGACCTCTACATTTAGTGTGATGCAATTTAAGCTCCTGTGTAGCTTTGGAGTTTTTGAAACACATTTTGCATAGTTCACCTATCAACAAAACGAATTTTAAATTCATTCACATACCTGTTTTCAACTCTACTTTCTGTTTATGCTTTTTAGTCTCAGTATGCTTCTTTATATCAAAGAGTTTAGCAAGAATCTCCGTAGAACAATATTTACAAAATGCTATGCTTGAGTCTCTACTTGCCGATTTTAGCCAACTTTTAAATTCGTCCATATTTTCACACTCCGGTCTGTATTTTGTACATAAGTTTTTTTTTTCTAAAGGTAAATCCATTTTCAAATTAAATTAAAATAGTTTTATATGGATAAAACAAAACAACACAAGGTAGAATACGAATAGCTCGTACTATTTTAGTTTACTAAGTATTCTGTCGCAGAAGAAACGGGGAATTCTCAGCCAGCGTCGACCTGTACTTACCATAGCATCTATGACCATAGATTTTTTTTCTTTCTACTCGGCACACTACTTGACGAATTTCGATAGACTCACGTCTCATGATGAAATGAAAATTTGCTAGAAAAAGTAGCTAAACATTTTAGCTACAAGTTTTATTAAATTGTAGCTGTCTGTCACCAAATAATAGCTAGATCTAGCTACAAAGTTGCTCAGTTGGCATCACTGTCTACAAGCGCCTAGCGAATGACTGATTAAAGTACGGTGTATGCACCGCAGTTGTGTGGAACAGAGTAGCTGAATGCAGTGTCGCGTCTAGTATTAGTTATTTACTTATATGTTATTTTATTGCATGTATTGATGATTATATTAGGTATATATATTGCACCACCTACCTAGTACTCCTGTTTTATTCCTTTATACCTTTGGTTGCCCGGAAGAGTCGCTATGTAGCGATAAGGCCGCCAAATTGTACATGTAATCTGCTCTCTGTTACGTTCTTTGTAAATTTGTTTGTGGTGTGCAATAAAGAATATTCATTCATTCATTCATTCATTCATTCATTCATTCATACATAATAGCTCAATGCCTAGATCGCATTATTTAGGTACTGTCACATCATTTGCTGTAATACAAATTTCTAAATCATGAATAAAAAAAAAAAAAAAAAAAATTTAAAATATGTACTATACTACCATAAATAATTTATTTTAAAAAATGGGATGTTTAATTAAGATTTCAAAATAGTATAATACATGCTACTTATACTTATCTTTCAATAAAAAATATTATTGCAAATTTACTTCCTAAACGACTTAATTTCAAACATAGTTGTAACCTGAATAGTAATTTTGATTTTGATGATACTTGGATTTATGACTGCAGTTAATACCATAGTTACTGAATGAAGAATATACTAAAAAAATCACTGAAAATTTTAGAAATTTGTAATTTTTAAAGGTATACCACTTAACCAAGTAACATGGATTTTTTAAATCGAACTGGTGCAACCTAGCTTTTCACCCCGTACCCGCTTAAGGTTGAGTTTCGGGACAGCCTGTATATTTGTAGCTGGCAGGCCGCTAGGTGAATCGTATTGTCCACTATGACAGCTAAGAGGCGCACGGATATTAATAAATAATGAAATCGATTTATGTTATTTTATTATTATTATGGGGTATCTATATAGTTTTCTCATCTGGTTGGGTTCTATAAATATATAATTATAAATGAAAATGAAAAGATAAATATACATAAATATCAATAACATAAAATAAATATAAAAGTACATAAATAAATAAAAGCCCAACCAGATGGAGGCCCTCGGCAGGGGAGACCAAACGGCCGAGGGTTAGGGGGAAAGGGAAAGAAACCGGCGGACAATGCGGGCGGTATCGAGGAGCACCGCCTTCTGCATTTGAGCCCGGAGCGGTCCGTCACGGAGTCCCAGTCGCCTCAGATGACCCGAGAGGCTGACTGGGATTAGCCCATTCGCAGAGACGACTACAGGAATAATTTCGGTCGACACACCACCCCACATGTCGGTCACCTCGTGAGCCAGGTCCAGATATTTTGTTTGTTTATCTGTTTCGGCTTTCACGAGGTTCTCGTCATACGGAATGGTAATGTCGATCAAAAATATCCTTGACTGTGCCCGGTCCATCAGCACAATATCAGGCTTATTCGCAAGAATAGTCCTGTCTGTGATGATGGCCCGGTCCCAGTAGAGCCTGGCGCGGTCATTTTCGAGCACGGCTTCCGGTAAGTACTTGTAATACGGCAATTTCCGGTCCACGAGACCGTATTTCAGAGCGAGCTCCTGGTGTAGAATTCTGGCTACTAGGTTGTGCCTGTGCAAGTACTCAGAGTTAGAAAGCGCCGAACAACCGGAGATAACATGCCTAAGTGGCTCACCGGGATGGCGACAAGCTCGACAGATGGCGACAAGCTCGACAGATGTCGACGGTGCCATCCTTTAGGATGTATCTCCGATAGTTGTTGGTCTTAATAACCTGATCCTGTATTGCACAGACAAAACCCTCGGTTTCCCCGAAGAGATCACCAAAGCGTAGCCAGTGGAGGGAGGCTACTGTGTCTACGAAAGGCTCATGTAGAGCCTTGTAGAACCTCCCGTGGAGCTCCTTCTCCTTCCATACGGTCTCCCGGTCGGAAATGCTCTGCACTGCCGGGTCTTGCCATTGCTCGTTGGCTAAGGATAGAGGGGTAAGTCCTTTATCACAAGAAATGACGTCCTTATAGAATGGATCATCAGATCTCGCCAGGAAGTAATCACGGAGGCTGCACACTTCGCGATTATGCATGGTGAGCGCGCTCAAGAAGCCACGACCACCATGCTTCCGCGACAAGTACAGCCTCATTACCGACGATCTCGGATGATGCATCCTATGGGACGTCATGGTAGTGCGGACTTTTCTATCCAGGGCGTTAAGTTCAGTCTGAGTCCACCTGAGTATGCCAAAGGTATACATGAGGACAGGCATGACCCAGCCGTTATATGCGTGTGCCTTATTCACACCGGACAAAAGGCTGTTAAGCACTTTGGTCAAGCGTGCATAAAACACGTCGCAAACTGACTGTTTCATACCAGTCTCATCGATACCGATGTTTTGTGACATACCCAGGTATCGGTATGTTTCAGCCTCGGAAAGGGTCCTTAAGTTGACGGGCATAGATAAGTCTACGCCCTCAGAGTTAGCAACCCTTCCCCTTTCAACATGGAGGACCGCACACTTATCCGTTCCAAGCTCCATTCCAATGGAATTGCTAAATTCACAAGTGATGTTTAGCAATTCCATAAGATGGGAGCGACTGGAGGCAAATAACTTGAGGTCATCCATATAGAAAAGGTGGGTCACTTTTGTCCCTCCTTTCCGTAGCTGAAATCCCCTCCCGGACCTCTCCAGTAAGGTACTGAGAGGGTTCAGAGAGAGGCAGAACCAGATTGGACTCAGACAATCGCCCTGGAAGATACCCCTTCTTATCCTTATGTGGTTCTCCGCAGCCATCATCCGCTCGCCCAGATGACAAAGGATCGTACTCCTTACTTACTATTATTATGTTGGGGTATCTATATAATTTTCTCACCTGGTTGGGTTCTATAAATATACATATAATTATAAATTAAAATGAAAAGATAAATGTACATAAATATCAATAAAATAAAATAAATACAAAAACTACACAAACAAATAAGATCCAACCAGATGGGAGCCCTCGGCAGGGGAGACCAGACGGCCGAGGGTTAGGGAGAAAGGGAAAGAAACCGGCGGACGATGTGGGCGGTATTGAGGAGCACCGCCTTCTGCATTTGAGCCCGGAGCGGTCCGTCACGGAGTCCCAGTCGCCTCAGATGACCCGAGAGGCTGACTGGGATTAGCCCATTCGCAGAGACGACTACAGGAATAATTTCGGTCGACACACCACCCCACATGTCGGTCACCTCGTGAGCCAGGTCCAGGTATTTTGTTTGTTTATCTGTTTCGGCTTTCACGAGGTTCTCGTCATACGGAATGGTAATGTCGATCAAAAATATCCTTGACTGTGCCCGGTCCATCAGCACAATATCAGGCTTATTCGCAAGAATAGTCCTGTCTGTGATGATGGCCCGGTCCCAGTAGAGCCTGGTGCGGTCATTTTCGAGCACGGCTTCCGGTAAGTACTTGTAATACGGCAATTTCCGGTCCACGAGACCGTATTTCAGAGCGAGCTCCTGGTGTAGAATTCTGGCTACTAGGTTGTGCCTGTGCAAGTACTCAGAGTTAGAAAGCGCCGAACAACCGGAGATGACATGCCTAAGTGACTCCCCGGGATGGCGACAAGCTCGACAGACGTCGACAGTGCCATCCTTTAGGATGTATCTCCGATAGTTGTTGGTCTTAATAACCTGATCCTGTATTGCACAGACAAAACCCTCGGTTTCCCCCGAAGAGGTCACCGAAACGTAGCCAGTTGAGGGAGGCGGCTGTATCTACGTGAGGCTCATGTAGAGCTCTGTAGTACCTCCCATGGAGCTCCTTCTCCTTCCATACGGTCTCCCGGTCGGAAATGCTCTGTACTGCCGGGTCTTGCCATTGCTCGTTGGCTAAGGATAGAGGGGTAAGTCCTTTATCACTAGAAATGACGTCATTATAGAATGGATCATCCGATCTCGCCAGGAAGTAATGACGGAGGCTGCACACTTCGCGATTATGCATGGTGAGCGCGCTCAGGAAGCCACGCCCACCATGCTTTCGCGGCAAGTACAGCCTCATTACCGACGATCTCGGATGATGCATCCTATGGGACGTCATTGTAGTGCGGACTTTTCTATCCAGGGCGTTAAGTTCAGTCTGACTCCACCTGAGTATGCCAAAGGTATACATGAGGACAGGCATGACCCAACCGTTATATGCATGTGTCTTATTCACACCGGACAAAAGGCTGTTAAGCACTTTGGTCAAGCGTGCATAAAACACGTCGCAAACTGACTGTTTCATACCAGCCTCATCGATACCGATGTTCTGTGACATACCCAGGTATCGGTATGTTTCAGCCTCGGAAAGGGCCCTTAAGTTGATGGGCATAGATAAGTCTATGCCCTCAGAGTTAGCAACCCTTCCCCTTTCAACATGGAGGACCGCACACTTATCCGTCCCCAGCTCCATTCTAATAGAATTGCTAAATTCATAAGTGATGTTTAGCAATTCCATAAGATGGGAGCGACTGGAGGCGAATAATTTGAGGTCATCCATATAGAAAAGGTGGGTCACTTTTGTACCTCCCTTCCGAAACTGAAATCCCCTCCCGGAGCCCTCCAGTAAAGTACTGAGAGGGTTCAGAGAGAGGCAGAACCAGATATGACTCAGACAGTCGCCCTGGAATATACCCCTTCTTATCCTTATGCGGCTTTCCGCAGCCGTCATCCGCTCGCCCAGATGACAGAGGATCGTACTCCACTGCCCCATACACTGCTCGAGGAAGTCTCGAACTGTACAGTCAATCTTGTACAGCTCGAGGACCCTCTTTAGCCATGTATGGGGCACCGAGTCAAATGCCTTTCTGTAATCTATCCAAGCGGCAGAGAAGTTCCGACGGTTGCGTTTCACCACTTTGCCAATGACCGCGTCAATGAGGAGTGGTTCCTTGGTTCCACGACCGCCGCCCCGACATCCATTTTGAGCGCGCGACATCACCTGATTTGAGTCCAGGTGACGAGCGATTCTCGCGCTCAAAATGGATGTTAGTGTCTTGTATATAGTCGGTAGACACGTGATGGGGTGGTATTTGCTCGGGTCTGTGGCACCCTGATCTTTAGGAACCAAATGAGTGATCCCAGTAGTGAAGAGGCTTGGGAGCGACTTCTGGTTGAGAGCCTCTTGAAACTGTCGGGCGAGCACAGCGTGACACACCATGAACCCCTTCAGCCAGTAGTGATGCAGCCCGTCAAGCCCCGGACTTTTCCAGTTCGGGGCCCTACGGACCGCCTCAGCTACGTCATCCGGCGTTATGGTGACGGGATCCATGGGCGTAATACCCGCACACTGACTCACCACAACTTCCGTCCAAGGGCCCTCGTTGTGGTTTACGGGCTCTGACCACAGGCTGCGCCAGAATGCGACCGTGTCGGCCTGATTTGGTGCTGGGCCCGTTCCACTTACTATTGGTCGCTCCAATGATTTGTAGAGCCTCTTCTGATCACTCTGGAAGAGACGATTCTGGTTGAACCGTGTCGACCTCTCGGTATATCGCCGAATCCGCTTTCCCCAAGCAGCGATTCTTTGCTTCAGGTCGTCTATGCGCTCCGTCAGTTTTTGCGTTATATCCGGCTGGGACAAACTAACATTTGTCCCAGCTAACGCCATCCTAACGGTGCGCACAATCCTTGGCCTGGTATTGCCTGACCTGAAGCATATCAGTCTGCCGATGAGGGCCCTAGCCCTTGCGATACGTTCCTCAATTCTTCTTCTCCATGCTGGGATAGCGCTACTATGGCCAGTAGCGCGTCCAGCCGTGGAAACCTTGGCGCCTATGATACGGCAGACTGCCAACGCGGCGCCAAAAAGAATTGAGTCCGTCTCGCAAAGGTCCCGGCTGGCTTCCAAATAGGTCACCAGCATTGGGTTCAGAGCCCTCACGACAGCCCGATTCCGCTTGCTTAGGGCTATGCGGGGGAAGTCGCGGCCGATTTTCGAGAGGCATACTGCGCGTTTCCACAATCGCCTCCTCCAATGTATTCCTCATTTGCTCTAGTTCCAGTTCCTGGGCGACTGTTCCGTCATCGTTTGAATCAACCACAACTGGCCTATTCACGACGGCATCCACATTTGCCGTTTGCTCAGCAAGTTGTGGCGCCGTATCCTCAGCGGCAGCATTTTCACCCGATGAAGGAACAGCCTCACGTCGCAGCCGTTCGAGTTCGGTGACATCAAATGTATTTGAGCGCAAGATATACCGAACTCGGTCTGCCAGGTTTTGCTCGGTTACGGTTACAGATGGCTCCAGCTCAGCAAAAAGTCGATGCATCCTTGCCCGATACGCAAAACCTCCAGTTTCTCCCCCTTTCGCCCTAAAATACGCCCGCAATGCGTTGCTGTTCATCTGGGTTGTCCAACGCATGCGGCGTACTCCACCAGTGGCGGGTGCCGATTGCTGGGCCCGCGAAGACCCTGCCGACACCAAACCAGCTGGTGGGGATGATGGATGCGAGGGGCTGCTGGGTGGTCGTGCAGCACCTCGCGCTCGGCTGGCGGTTCGCATGCTGTCGCGTCCAGCGCCAGCTCCAGACGGCCCCTGGCGACCTCCAGGCAGCGGCCCTTTGCGCGTTCTTCCGTATTCCATCATCCATAGTGGTGGGCGTCATTTAGCGGGAGACGCCCAGACACGGCGCCGTTTCATGGTGAGGCCATGTGCACAAGCGGGCCTTTGCACCTTCAATTTTTGCCGAGGCACGGCACTAACACCTCTCGGCAAGGTGCTGACTGATGCGCTGACGCACCGTTTTTGTCACATAACCGTTACGTCAGCGGGCGATGGGGTCGTCACTTCCCTACGCCTTTTATTATTATTATTATTATTATTAAATTATTATTTTATATTAGATATTATTATAAATATTTACTCATTTGATATAATGAATATTAGAAATGATTTATAATTTTAGTAGTAGAATAGATGTTAATGAATGTTATTTTACCCTATGATCCTATTAAATAAATAAAATAAAATAAATACAAAAAATATGTATATATATATATATATATATATATATATATATATATATATATATATATATATATATATATATATCTCAATTTATACATTCAGGAAAAAGTAAGGCTACATTCATTCCTAGAAATTTGAACCTTTTTCCTTATAATTTATAATGTATATTGGGGTCGACTTTTGTTACATCCATAAAGATTCACGGATAATACAAAAAACTTGATATACGAGTAGCTTATATGAAGACCCCATTTAATAATTTATAACCTCACAAATCTGTTCAATACATTTACAAACGCTTTTGTAAAAATAACTATTATGAATCTAAAGCGAAGTTGATATGTGTAAAAACTGTTCTAATAAATAATGCGTTATAAATACAAATTTTCCTCCAGATGAAATGTTAAAAAACGAGGGAGAAGTCATTTGTTTCGGCTTTATGTCACATTATATAAATTGAGCTACGGGACAAAGATAATCCAGCAACTACGTGCGTTAAATATTACATCAGATACAACTCAACAATAATTCACAGCCTGACTAAAGCGGCTGTAAAGTTTAATACGTGGTAGAGCCATGCTGCGGTTATATTAATAGTATAGTTGTAGCACGAATGAGTCGCCTCGACCGGGGAAGGAACATGCTCTCGCAGAATACCAGCGTAAAATAGTAGCTTAATGTTGCTGTGTTTCGTATGGTAACAGTGTAGAGAACCGGAGACCCTTTTTACTGGAAATAAGGCATTCCATCTTAGTTCTCACGGGTGACAACGCATCTGCATTTTGATTCGTAATCGAGGATACATTTAGGTATCTATGGGCCACAGCAACCACTTACCATCAGGTGGACTGCTCGCTTGTAACCCTATCCTATACAAAAAAAATATCTAACTTGAATGATAAATATACGATACGAAGTCAATAGAATCCATAATGGATAAATTGTTAATAAGTTTTAAGTTAAAGTTACCTCAAAACTACAGATTGTCCATCATTGTAGCTGTGACTATTAGCAAATTTTAATATGAAATAATAAATAACCCCTATTAAGCTGTGAATTGAAGTGAATGAAAGATGTCTCGGTGTTGAAAAGTGTGACTCGGGGTCACTTACTGAACCCTTATATCAAAGGATAAAAATACTTAAATGTCTGGTTAAGTAATCGTCAATCCGCCTGCCAAGTCGTGACGGTGTCGAGGATTGGTGTGGCAAATGTACAACATGTGCGGCTGTGAAGGGACCTCAGACTCGTAGTAGAGGTGCATTGAAACTTTAAAATGTTGGAGCACCATGTGAGAGGATAGCCCTTGACGTTGCGGGGCCGTTTCCGGAAAGTTTAAGTGGTAACAAATATTTCATTGTTGTGATGTATTATTTCACTAAGTGGCCAGAAGTCTTCACCATTCCAAATCAAGAAGCTTCAACAATAGCAGATAAACTAGTTTATGAAGTCTTCTGTCGTTTTCGAGTACCCTTAGAGATTCACAGCGATCAAGGAAGGAATTTTGAGTCTCAAATATTCCTGGAAACTTGCCGAGTTATGGGTACTCATAAAACAAGAACAACTTCTTACCACCCAAAATCTGATGGAATACAGAAACCACCTTAAAATACCAGCCATGCTTTGTCTGATGAGTGATGAGATCCAAAACCTCCTACTTATTTGATACGAGGATTGAGGATTAAGATGGAAAGCCATTCCATCTTAATCTTCAAGGGTAACAGAGTATCTACATTTTAATTCTTAATCGAGGATAGATGTCGGTATCTATCCTCAAGTCAAGGCAAATTCTCCCTATAACTAGAGAGACCCAGCAGATTATATGCATTGCAGAGACTGATAAGGAAAAATTATAGAAGACATGATGTCTGTGTGCAATCTGTCAAATCTGCCACAGTCCACTTGATGCTAAGTGATGCCTACAGCCAATTGATATCTTTAAAAAAAATTGAAGTGACAAACGATGTCCCGGGATGTTCCCGGGTTGGCTCGACCGGGGAAGGACCCAGCTCTCACAGAATACTACCGTGAAATAGTAGCTTAATGTTGTTGTATTTCGTATGGTGGGTGTAAAGAACCGGACCCCCTTTTTACTGGAAAAGGGGTATTCCATCTTAGTCCTCACGGATGACAACGCATCTGCATTTTAATTTGTAATCCAGGATAGATGTAGATGTCTATGGGCCACAGCAACCACTTACCATCAGGTGAAGTTTGTGCTCGTTTGTCACCCTATCCTATGAAAAAAAATAAAAAAAATGTGATGTGAGTGTTTACTTGTTGCCATTATCAAGGTCGAACAAAAAAAGAAGAAAAAAACGCGTTTCTAGTCCCAACTAGAATTTAACAAAGGGCTCTGGGGAGCCTTTTGTTAAAGCTACTTTAATTTCTATTATTTGTTGTTATAGCGGCAATAGAAAGACACATTCTGTGGAATTTAAACTGTCTACCCATAACGGATCATGAGATATAGCCCGCTGACAGACAGACGGTCGGACGGCGGATGTTTAGTAATGGGGTCTCGTGGGTTACCCTTCGGGTACGTAACCCTAAAAATGTACCTATGAACCCACAAACAGACCAAAATCATGATACAGATTAGCTATTTCATTTCATTTTCACGTTTAAAAGGTATCTAAAAAATAACAAGTAATTCCAAAATCCACATTAAATTTTCTTTAAAATTATATGTAAAATACAATATAATAGGGCTTACGAAAAATGCATTTATCTTTCAAATCTGAATAACTTTATATCTTTGAGGGTTATATCATTTCTGCACGACACATGCCAATTATATATAATTAAACTCTTATGTCAAGGGTCACTAAATACAACGGGAGAAATCTTCTATCGGTCTATATGTCTGTCTATCAGTCCGGGATAATCCTCGAAATGGCTTAATCGATTGTAATGAAACGAATAGATAATAAAATACACATTCACATTTTTTACACGTGGTAGAGCCACACTGCAGCTATTATGGTTGTAGCATAAATGAGTCGGCTCGACCGAGGAAGGATCACGTTCTCACAGAATACCAGCGTTAATAGCAGTTTAATGCTGCTGTGTTTCTATGGTGAGTGTAGAGAACCGGAGACCCATTTGATTGGAATCGAGGCATTCCATCTTAGTCTTCAAGGGTGAAACGCGTCTGCATTTTGATTCTTAGCGAGGTTAAATGTAGATGTCTACGGGTCACAGTAATCACTTACCATCAGGTGGACTGTGTGCTCGTTTGTCACCCCTCTCCTATAAACAAAAAGATAAAAAGCAATACCGAAACTGATCTAGGCAATACCGTATTCAAAAGTCTTGGATATTTATTTTAATTTTTTTTTTATAGAAGAGGGGACAAACGAGCATGCGGCTCACCTGATGTTGACTACCGCCGCCCATAACCAACCGCAACACCAGGGGAATTGCAGGTGCGTTGCCGGCCCTTTAGAAAGGAGTAAGCTCTTTTCTTGAAGGTCTCCAGGTCGTATCGGTCTGGAAAAATCGCCGGTGGTAAACTATTCCACAGAGAGATTGTACGCGGAAGAAAACTTCTTTTGAAACGTACAGTGGTGGAGCGCCAAGCATCCAGATGGTGTGGATGGTATCGAAAGGTTTGCCGCGTAGTGCGTTCACGAAATTTGGCGGCTGATATTAATCCGAACAATTCCACAGAGCACTCTCCATGGCCTATGCGAAAGAAAATGCAAAGAGATGCAAAATCTCTTCGCAGCACCAGTGAATCGAGCCGATCGGAAAGCACTCGGTCGTCGACGATTCGAGCCGCTCTGCGCTGGATGCGGTCAAGAAGCGAGCTGAAGGTGGAAGGAGCTGGTACTGAGGAGCCCCAGCCCAGAGATGGGAACAGTATTCCATGTGCGGCCGAACCTGCGCCTTGTAAAGTTGTAGGCGGTGTGCCTGCATGAAATACTGTCCCGCTCTACTGAGCACACCAAGCTTTTTAGAGGCCAATTTGGCCTTCTCCTCCAAGTGACCACGAAACTGCACGTCACTCGATATGTCGACGCTGAGGATTCCGATACTGGCTGAGGCAACAAGGGGAGTGCCTTGAAACTGAGGAGATACGACAAAGGGGTTCTTTTTAGCGGTTAACGCGCAAACTTGTGTCTTGTGGGGGTTAAACTGGACTAGATTTCGTCGCCCCCAATCCGAGACTCTGTTCAGTAAAAACTCGACTTCAGACACAAGTTTTTCCCGGTACTCGGATACGTTTTCCCGAGAAATATAGGCTCGGCCGGTGTAAAAAGCATCACCAGTGCTGTTATCTGCATAGCAATGAATGTTACGGGTTTGCAATATATCATTGATATGCAGAAGTAACAGCGTTGGCGATAGCACGCAGCCTTGGGAACACCAGCATTAATAGGCTTGCAATCGGAGCTTGCACCGTCTACAACGACCTTGATGCTCCTATCTGCAAGAAAGCTGGTGATCCAATCGCACAATTTCTCGGGAAGCCCATAGGAAGGGAGCTTCGAAAGAAGCGCTTTGTGCCAAACCCGATCGAAGGCCTTCGCAATGTCCAAACTAACGGCCAATGCCTCCCCCTTGGACTCTACTGCCTTCGCCCATCTGTGAGTTAGGTAGACCAGAAGATCACC